AATAGTTTCAAATTTAGAGAATGAAATGTAAAAAAAAAAAACATTGAAAAATGCTTTAAAAATACCAATGAAAAGTGCATTTCCGAACACTATTAGGTGTTTTGGTCTTGTTTTTACCTGTCTCACCAGAATGGGCCCCTGCAGATGATCCACAAACCCCTGAGCCACAGTCACCCCCAGAACCAGCGTGTGTATCCCACAGGACAGGGCTGCCAGCAGAACCAGGGGCAGCAGGTTCAGAGGTAAGGTCAGGAAACTGCAGAAACTAAAGAAAGCCTGCCAGCCCACCGAGTCACTGGCGCCCAAGAACCGCTGGAAGTTCAGTTCCATGTAGCACAAAACATGAACGGTCACCATCAACCACAGCAGGTAAGGGACCCCTCCTCTGGCCACGGGAGACGCGGGGAGTTTACGGAACCAGCACATCAGGAAGAGCACAACATCTGCAGCCAGGCCCACGGCTGCAGCCACCACCATGGCCAGTTTGTCCTCGGTGTACACCACGGCGCACATGATGATGATGAAGCTGTTGAAGAGCGCCGCAAACGCCACGAACACCAGCAGGTTCTCCTCCCTCTGGCGCCGAAAGTAGCTCTGGTAAAGTCTCTCCAGGGACTCCGGCGTGAAGGTGAGGCGCACGGATCTGGGCAGGCAGCGGCAGCAGCCCGACTGGAGGACGGCCACGTCTCGGTGGCTCCGACCCGGAGCCTGGCCCGAGGACTCCACGGAGGACTCCACGGACTGCTCCGTGTCCATCGTGGGGACCCGGTTCAGAGCCATGTCGATCACTGAAGATAATCCATTTGATTTGTGACAAAAAGTGCAGGAGATGCCAGAATCCAAGAAAACGATGTGATGTTTCCCATTTTACTAGGAAATATCCACGTCAGTTGAAAGTTTCCAAAAAAGCTTTTAATTAAAAAAGTTTACTTCTTTTCTTTGCTCACAATAGATCCATAAAGAAAGGTTGAAAGGTTTTTACCTGGTATTACATTTGGAATAACTTCAGGATGGTTTCTAGTTTACTATTACCTTTCTCCATCCAGGTTAAAACCTCTCAAAATAAAAGACCTCTTCTATCTGAAGTCCTGCTGATTACCATGGTAGATAGGAAACACTTATAATCCTCCATTTGAACACAACAAGACTCCATCTAGCCAAAAACAAAAGAACAAAAACTCGAGCAAAAACCAGCATTACTTTGGATTAAAACAAGATCAGTGACACAGAATCAGTCCTCTGGTGCTCGTCGGTCCTCTGGTTTCCTCCCACGCCCAGCCCTCCCAGAAGTAAACAGCGAATCCTCTGTTACTGTTGTTAAGATGAAACCAAAGTAATAGTCATGTCTTGGGAAAACATGATGTGCAAAGCTGACAAAAAGGAAAAAAAAGGTGGTTTCACTGCAGCAAGAACGATCAAACCAAATTTGAGAACAACGGTTCTTTTTAATAATACTTAAAGTATTTTACATGAAAAATAATTCCCTCATATTAGCAATTAAAATTTATTTTCTAGTTGTCTTTACCAATGGCGGCCAACTTGCTTGTGACAAGTTTTATAGGGTTTATCATAAAACAAGACTGACAGAAAACACCATGTGTACATTGAAGTTTGTGTCAGACGGTAAACTCATTCATCAGTCTGTGTGTGAGTTGGTTGTAGTTGGTGATTTTCCGATCGTACCACCAAGAGCGCTTCCGAGAGCCAACGCCACAGCCGCCACAACTCCTACGGTCCCCAGTGTCCCCAGAGCCGCCGTGGCCAAGGCTGCAGCCCCGAGAGCCCCGGCTCCGATGGGTGCTGCCGCTGCGGTGACCGTCTCCATGCCGATGCCTTTAATTAGCTCCGACCCCGTGAGGAGGCCCCTTCGTAGATTCACCTGAGTGTGGAACGGGCTCCTCGGGGCGCCCAAAACGAACCCCCCCACCGCCACCATCGCGACCGTTAGGAGCTCCAGGGCCGTTGCTTTCACAGCGACGCCTTTGACGGCTACRAGGACGCCGCCTACGACACAACCCAGGACCGCTAAAGTCCAATACCTGGATCGAAACCCTTGTTTTGCCGCCACGCTGGCGGCACCGAGCGACACCCCCGCCGCCGTGGCCGCCCCCAGCGCTGCTCCGGTGCAGCTTCTGGCCCCGAGAGAGGAGCTGTGCTGCAGGACGACTCTCAGAGCGGCTGATGTTATTATAGCAGCGCCCACTGCGACCTTCCCAGCCGCCTCCGGCCCCAGTCCCACCATGGCCACGGTTCCCAGTCCAGCTCCCAGCAGACCCGCGGACACAAACGCCACCCAAAGGACCGACTGCAGCACCAAACCCACCTCTGCTTTTGACCCTTCACCTGCTGCGCCTGCCCACAAACCAAGAACAAAACCAAGAATCCCCACTACAACCGAGTAGAAGTAGATCCTGTCCAGMAGCTTGAACCCGATATTAGATTTTGGTCTTTGCTGTAGCCTCCTTGTAAGAGTCTTCCGCAGGGAGTAGAGGACAGCAATAGTTATTACAGTACAAATAAGACCAAGTATGGCCCCCATTCGTCCGTATAAAACACTGAGGTACAGAGTAGTGAAGATGATTAACAGGGCTGTTGTCATGTCGTTGATGTTGGAGTACGAATAGACGATGAGGACTAGAGCGCCTTGAGCTGTAAGGTAGATCCACGGCGGAAGGTGGCCCACCAACRCTCCGGTGGCGACAGCGCCCACCACCACAGAGGCGCCGGTTGTGAGCTCCGTTAGCCACGGCAGCCTCGCTCCGACGGTCTTCAACAGTTTCAGCGCCGCGGCACCGAGGAGAAAACCCATTCCTAGAGACAGCAGCACCGACGTGAACGCGAGGCACGCCGCCACCACGGCCACGCCCGTCGAACCGGCCCGTCCTGAGGCCAGCGCCGCGGCGTTCAGCAGGGCGACGTCTTGAATCAGAGCGGGCTCGACCGCRAAGGAGGCGGCTTCTCCGAACACAAAGCCGGCTGCAGCACTTCTGAGGAGCGCCTTCAGCACACAGGCGGCACCTGAAGACACAGAATTAAATAGTGTGCGCATAGTTAACATTTAACACTCGTTCCTTTCCTCGTTTTGTTCCATCTTCAGGGGTCGCCAATGTCATCCTCCTCCATCTCTCTCTGTCTGCATCCTCTGGCCTCACTCCAACTAAATTCATATCCTCTCCAACTGTATCCTCTTTAATCCTATCCATCCTTGTCATTCACAAAGATAATACATATAAACTTCAACAACTGTATTTATTTACAAAACAAACATATATGGATATTTTTCTTGTCGGCTGGAAGAAAAAGATATAAAAAGAAAAAGTTTGCAGAATTTTATTAGTCATCTAAACCAGTGATGGTCAACTGGCGGCCCACGGGGTGACTTCCATTGACACCATTGGTCAATGAGCAGCTCTTAGAAAAGGAGCAGCTTTGAGT